GCGGTGGGGGGGGGGGGGGTATACGTCTATAAAGGTGCAGAACATCAGAGTTCAAACGAGGTCACGCAAGACTGGGAGCATCTTGCGCAAGGCTTGCCTTGGAGTACGACATAAACAAGCAACATAAGATCAAGTTTGGTTGAGACCGCGCCTCGACCTAGACTTGCACTGGCCACCAAAATAGAGACCTAAACTTCATTTAATATTCCCTGATGATGTCATAAAATTGAATTAGGAGATCAGAGAAAAGTATGAAGAGCCTGAATCAATGATCCAGTCAAGCCGTCCTTGCAGAAACCGAAGCGAAGTTTGCGGTTCTCAGCGTCCATCACTCAAACTGCAGCGATGTGAATCAGTACTTTACGGCGAGAACAATTCCGAAAACAGATTCTCAATGACCGCCCTCTAATCTCTAGTTATTCCAGCCGCAGTGATGAAATATTTGGGGTATAAGGCCGTCTGCTGTGAAGAGCTCGGTAATTACCACAGAGTTATGCTCAGTCAGTAAATTGTGCGCTTCAACTGGAACCGAAGCTTCCTAGCTCAACCTGCAATTGTTTTGTTTTCATCTGTCCAAAAAAAAAAAAAAATAAAAAAAAAAGAAAAAAAAAATTTTTTTTTTCTTTTTTTTTTTTCATTTTCCCAAAAAAAAAAAAAAATAAAAAAAAAAGAAAAAAAAAATTTTTTTTTTCTTTTTTTTTTTTCATTTTCCCAAAAAAAAAAAAAAATAAAAAAAAAAGAAAAAAAAAATTTTTTTTTTCTTTTTTTTTTTTCATTTTCCCAAAAAAAAAAAAAAATAAAAAAAAAAGAAAAAAAAAATTTTTTTTTTCTTTTTTTTTTTTTCCATAAACTGGTAGCTTGTTTTCGGGATGAGGCAGTGAACAATGGCACAGAGATATGAGGAATCTAAAAATGAGGCTTCCTCCTTTTTTTTCTATGTCTTGATGTTCTAAAAACGTTTTGTTTTGGGGCCTTCAGATTTGTAGCTTTGCCTCAGTCTGCAATCCTTTTTCTTTTTTTTTTTTCCATAAACTGGTAGCTTGTTTTTGGGATGAGGCAGTGAACAATGGCAGTGAGATATGAGGAATCTAAAAATGAAGCTTCCTCCTTTTTTTTCTATATCTTAATGTTCGAAAAACGTTTTGGGTTTTTTTTTTGTAACGCAAGCATGAAGTTGCCACTTGTGCACAATGACTTTTAATCCGCTAATCGATACCGTGACATTGGTTGCTCAGGAAGCACAAGCGTGTATTGAAACGATCAGCCGGTAAAGAAAAACCTCCAAAAAAAGATGAGCCAATAAATCAGAACCCATCTCTGCCGTTCACTGTGAACCCGACGTCAATCCTGTCGATTCCGCATAGGCTAACGTCATTGTGTATGTAGCATATTTTTCGGACTGTAAATCGCACTTTTAGTCAATAGTTTGGCTAGTCCCGCGACATACTCAGGTGTGAGATGTCTATATTAAAACTAGAGCTCACACTGGCATCCAAAATGCTCGTCCCCGAGTGGTGTCGACTTTCTCTTGGAGTTTGGCAAATATTTTTGATGCATTATTGCCACTTCTTTTGCCGAGCGTCAAAAGAAAATAGAAGAAGAAACGGAAGAAGACGTAGTCCTGGCAAAGGAAAACTAGCAAGAACTGACCAGAATTTTATCTTTGGCTACAATGGGATGTGGGATTCTAGGTATGGAAAGTCATTTTCAACTAGAAAGAAAAACACGTCTGTCTTTAGAAGCGGATGTTTCGAATCCTATCGGAAATCATTCGATAACATCAACAGCGGGTGTGTTTGGAAATTCATTCTGATGCCCGAACACCACTCTAAGAGAGAGTGTGTGTGTGTGTTCGGAAAGGCAGAGCTCCCTTCCCTTTAATTTCTGAACCCTGTCTACGTTATAAACCAATCACCAGCTCGCACTTGAACTCTTTCCATCCGTGGTGCCTGACTCATTAGTTACCCCTTTTTTTTGGAGCGCTCAGAATAACGTAAGGGCACATTTGAACAGAGCTCTGAGTTGCCGAACGGTCAGAGTGAAGCAGTGCATGCACAGAGCTTATTTCCAAACGCACCCACGATTTGGGACCGGGGGATTTTGGTTGCAAATCTGAGCTCTTCTGTTCATGGTCTAGGTTTTTTGTAAAATAAATTCCCTCCTCGCAAAAAACGCGACTTATCCTCCGGAGCGACTTCCAGTCTGAAAAAATACAATAAACAGGCAAGTGACAGCAAGCACTAAAAACTTGAGCGAAAGAAGAAAATTGAGACGAAATACATTCAGGGAGACACAATAAAAAATATCTGCTTTGTGTACTAGCCCAGTGGAAGAAATTTACCTACATTTTAATGATGCACACACAGGTGATGTACAACAGCTATAACGGTGGGTGGAAAGAAAGATCCCAAAAGGAATATCTGCATTTCTTTTCTTTTTTTTTTTTTCCCAAACTTGAAATGTACTCCCCGCTGGTTACTAAACGAGATTTTTGATGTTTACTGAAGAGAGGCATAATAAACGGTGGGTGGAAAGAAAGATCCCAAAAGGAATATATGCATTTATTTGAATTTTTTTTTCAAACTTGGAATGTACTCCCCGCTGGTTACTAAATGAGATTTTTGATGTTTACTGAAGAGAGGCATAGTTAGCTCTTGGAAAGAGTTCCCACTCACCGTCACCGTGGTCTCCTTGTTCTGTTTCTTGGTGGGCGACGTTGGTCCGGGGCTCTGCGGAGAGAGGAAAGACGGTCCATCAAAGCCACCGTCCTCCATGTCAGACATGACTGCTCCGCATACACACACGGTCACTTTCATACAAATGTCGTTAGTGGCGAGCTCCTTTAAAATCCATCTGGAGCTCTCGCCGCCGCCGCCGCCGTTGCCTCTGTTGCTGTGTATGCATGATGTGAGAGTGTGTGTGTGTGTGTGTGTGTGTGTGTGTGTGTGTGTGTGTGTGCGTGTTTTGGTGTGCAGAGAAGTTGTGTGTGTGTGTGTGTGTGTGTGTGTATGTTTTGGTGTGCAGAGAAGTGAAGAGTGCAGCTCTTATTTTGGGTTTGAGTGTCCATCTGAGTTTTGTGCTCATGCTCAGAAATGTAACTTTTTTTTTAAACATTATTTTCAATGTATTTTGTTATAAATGTATACTTTCCTAAAATATTCCGGAGGAAAAAAGTCATCCTTATTACATTAACCCTAACTTGGACCCTGTAACCTGATCACATGATAAGCTGCCCACTGTAGTAACCGCTGTCCCCAAAAGGGTTAATAGCGGAAAACATATTTTGTGGTCGCTCTCTAGCAAACTGTGTTGAATTTGATATACAATAAGATAATTTTTTTTATTGGTCTACATAGGAAGGTCAGAAGATGAACATAAATTTTTCGAAAGTTGAATCTGTATTTTATCCCGCCGTCTACGTATTTGTCATGCTGATACTTATAAGTGAACATTGACATTTTTATTTGTGTTTATATTTCAAGCATATGTTAATGGATTTACATCCTTTTTACTGTAGTAACCGCTGTCCCCGAAAGGGTTAATAGCGGAATACATGTCATGCTGATACTTATAAGTGAACATTGACATTTTTATTTGTGTTTATATTTCAAGCATAAGATAATGGATTTGAGTTTAAAAAAAATTACAGCAACATCAAGTTGAATCCAGATCTGATCTGAAATTTATGTTGAAAGTAATTTAGATGAAGCCTGGAAAATCGAATAATTGTCCAGAGGCTGATCATTCTTTCGACTCTCATCTGATATGAATGTGTTATGTAATGTCAGGCCGGATATAACGACACTTTGTTATGGATGAAAATTTATCTTTAGTTCACTGTAAAGATCTAAGAGCGCAAATGTGCTCTCAGAGTAATACCCATTTTCCTTCATGTCCTAATGACAGTATGTGGTTGGCTTTTGTGAGGAAGCTAAAAAGGACAGAAAAGACGAAAAGCACATACTGTCAAAGTCCAGAGTGTCTAACTGTTCATTAAAAAAAAAAAAAAAAAACAAACAAAAACAATAAAATAACAAAGAGGAACCAGAGGACTATTTTCATGTTGTTGTGTCTGGGGTGTGACGAGCAGGAAAGGAGTAAATGTAAAGAGACAAAGTGAAACAAAGTGGTGGGTGGATCTTATGAAGCTGCTGCACCCACATTTGCCTTGTTAATTATGATCGCTGGAACAGATAGTGTAGGCGGGATTAATCTACTTTAATTGCCGTCGGCATCCCCGTGAGGACAGGACGGAGGGAAGGGATGTTTCAATGTGGAAAAAGATTTCTCATTATCTTTGTCATCAAACATGAGCTTTGGAGTTCGTCTTTGAATATAGGTGTAATAACCGGTTATTACAGTGTAATAACCGACACAGTCGGTTATTATACTGGAAACAAATAGTTTCATTTCCTCAATTGGTTACACTAAATAAAACCATCTGGATCCAGATACATTCGTTTTCGTAAATGGACCACTTGACAAAATGAAAATAACTTTTTTTTTTTCCAGAGTACAAATAATATTTTTAATTTGTGGGTGGAATGGTGCCCGACTGTTGAGCCAATTGGGCTCACAGTGTGGAGTTTGCATGTCTGTCCCATGCCTGCATGGGTTTTCTCCGGGTACTCCAGTTTCCTCCCACAGGCAGGTTAATGGAACGCTCTAAATCACAGGTGGCAAAGTCAAGGCCCGGGGGCCAGATCCGGCCCGCCACGTCATTTTATGTGGCCCGTGAAAGCAAATCATCTTCGTTAACTTCCATGATCCTTGATTAAACCTATAGCAAAATCTCAAATTGTCGTACTTAATAAATAACGGTGACCTTTTGCAATAATTTTGTTTCCACTGTCGACACTCACTTGAGCAATTGAACAAATACTTGACTCATTTCAAAACTAGTGAGGCATCTTTTTTTTTTGTATGTGTGTGTACAAGTAATAATACAATGTGATGATTCAACATTTTTTCGCTTCCGCTGTCGTAATGGCCCTGTCAGACGTAATTCCAAAATGGCCCGCGACAAAAATGAGTTCGACACCCCTGCTCTAAATTGTCCCGAGGTGTGAGCGAGTAAGATGACTAAGATGGACATGAGGTACTTTGACATTCATGAAAAAAAAACATTTTCGGGCCAAAAAGTTCAGATGAGGTCTGTTGTTAAAATACTCATGATAAAACAAGGTAGTGGGAAGTGAAGACTTTTGCATCGATGTAGTGTAGTTTTACCTGTTGGTCTGTACTGCCTTTCCGGACCATATTGTTGTGTGGAGGTTCCAGATGATGCAAGGGGCTGCCGCCTGAGTGAAATCCATTCACTGCGGAGACAGGTCAATTATTTTGTTATTTGAAGTATTTCATTTTTTTATCTGTGCCACTTGAGCCCCTATTCAACTGAGGGGCGAACATCTCCGACAGTTGGGGATGGTCGTAAAAATGCACGTTCATGTCAGGGTGTCGCAAATGTTCGCCAAACGGTCGTCAGGTGTTCAGCAGATGTTTGCCCGTACTTAAAAAAAAAAAATCTAAAAAAAAAAAAAAATTACGAATACTGAATGAGCCGATAACATGTTGTCAATATTTTCCAGACGATGATCATGATTCACACAATAGACCGGTTGTGTGATAATTGACTGAATTCGAAGAGAATTCTCTCTCCATCGACTGTACGTTACTTGTCAAAATGAAATAACAAAATACATTTTTCTGTACCAAGTATATTATTTCGATCCATCCATCCAAGTGCCCCCCAAAAAATAAAACAAACCGATTCATCTTGTAATTTTAACATTTGTTACTAAAAAAAAAAAAAAAATCTCGCGGCCCGGTGGTCCCGTGGTTAGTGTGTCGACCTCACAGTGCAGAGGTACCGGGTTCAGTTCCAGCTCCGGCCTCCATATGTGGAGTTTGCATGTTCTCCCCGGGCCTGCGTGGGTTTTCTCCGGGTACTCCGGTTTCCTCCCACATTCCAAAAACATACATGGCAAGTTAATGGAACACTCGAAAATTGTTCCTGGGTGTGATTGTTAGTGCGAATGGTTGTTTGTCTCTGTGTGCCCTGCAATTGGCTGGCAACCGGTTCAGGGTGTCCCTCGCCTACTGCCTGAAGACAGCTGGGATAGGCTCCAGCACGCCCCCTGACCCTTGTAAGGATAAAGCGTGTCAGAAAATGGATGGATGGATAAAAAAAAATCTATTTTGCTGGATTCTTTTCGTTTCTTCAATGTTTTGAAATGTTGATATCGAAGCAAAAGTGTCGCATGAGCAGAGTATGGACAGAACTTAACATTTTGACATAAACAGATTTGAAACAAATGGGGAGGGTTGATAAATACTCCCAAAAAAAATCTACATGTTTCACAAAATGTATTTGCCTGTCCCCGTTTCCCAGCGAGTGCGATACTATGTACATGAATGAAACCAAACAGTCATTTTCAATGGAGCCGATCGATCTGAAATAGAGCAGCTTTCACTGGTGCAGTTGAAAACACATTCGAATCCTCTGTTTTCGTCAAGCCTTGAAGATAGACAGAGCCAAAAGAGTGACAGAGAAGGGGGCCTTTAGTACTGCAAATTGAAGCTACAGATAAAATTAGTTCCAGGAAGTGTCTGTTTTCTATGTGTGTGGTGTGAATAAGAGGGTTCTTTGTGCCACTGTGTTCATTTTAGGAGAATTCATAGCCTCGGGTCGCTCAAAAGATGAGGAAGTTGGAATGATAGAAGAGTTCAGACAGATGTAAATAAATAAATAAAATAAAAATACTGAACCTGCTGGCAAGGAGCCCTTGTGACGCAGGGATGATTTTGGAGTGCCGGGAGCACTGGAGGGTCTCTCCCATGTTGTCTCTGATGGAAAAAAAGTCAATAAATTAAGAAGGAAACTTCACAACTTTTCAGGATTCGATACTCTGATTCCAGATTGCTTTTTATTTCAGTTTTGCGTATTTACTCTTCAAACAAAACATTAGCGCCTCTTCAAGATGAAACATAATACTGCATGTTTGTGATTCCGGTAACTGCGAGAGGATCTTAGGACATATTATAGCACGTAAACGACCTGCTCTTGAATAGAACCACTGTGGCTAAAGCTGAAAGGTCGCAGGGTTTTTTTTTAATTCTGGACCTGTATTGAACTCCTCTTTATTATAGAAAATAGCTATAAATGAGGAAAACATACGACAATTCTTCCGACAAAAAAATGGCAAAGACAGAGAGTTGAATATGTTTGGATCAAATACAAAAACTCGACATGTTACTAAGCTTCCCAGAAGCACACTTTAAATTTTTTTTTTTTTTTTTTTTTAAATCATGGATCCAGATTTTACCACTGTTAAGCTACGGCACTTACACTCAAATGCTTTTTTTTTCGCTTTGTTTTCACCCCAGGTCCATTCTCACCACAGGAAAATTTTGCCTTCATTGTCACAATGTGAAGGGAAAAAAAATAAAATAAAAAAGGCGAGGTATAAAGAACTCTTATTTAATTTGGGCCTTTCCAGGTTGGCTCGGCTTTATGGGGTTCTGTCGAACAGAGGAGGCAACTGAGCCAAGCCCATCACCTTAAATGACACGCATGGAGCGAAAAAAAACTGGCAGCTAGCGGAGGGATAAGAGCCATGCCTTTGCATTCGATGCACGACGTGAGCAGTAAGCGTGGCTCTCGAGCTAAAAATCTAAAACAGGGATGGGAAACTGGTGGACCGTAACCGCACTCTGAGTAGCCCCCTTATGAGTTTCCTCTATTACACTGGAGATTTAGCAGCGTTTTAAGAATTTGGGGGTTAAAATAATATACACTGGTTTGTGCAGAGCTCATATTAATATTGTTCATACATGTGCTAGCAAACCAACTGTTAGCATTTTAGCAACAGTCATTCACAACTAAGCCATTGTAAGACTTTAAACTTTGTTCAGGCCAGTTTAAAGTTGAAAATAGGTCTCCGGGGACAAGCCAAATTCGAAACACAGAATTAAAAAAAACTGGCCTTTAGATTTGCAAAGCAGGCCCATGAAAATTGTCTATGAGCATTTTATTATTTTTGTCCAAAACAGTCCATTAGTTCGTAGGATGCAGAGTTGTTCGTTAGCCTGCAATGGGTGATCAATACCAATGGCAAAATGAAGATTTCTACTCATTTGAATAAAACACTTTTTCTTTTTAAAGCCTGTCAGAGGGATAAGAGCCATGCCTTTGCATTCGATGCACGACGTGAGCAGTAAGCGTGGCTCTCGAGCTAAAAATCTAAAACAGGGATGGGAAACTGGTGGACCGTAACCGCACTCTGAGTAGCCCCCTTATGAGTTTCCTCTATTACACTGGAGATTTAGCAGCGTTTTAAGAATTTGGGGGTTAAAATAATATACACTGGTTTGTGCAGAGCTCATATTAATATTGTTCATACATGTGCTAGCAAACCAACTGTTAGCATTTTAGCAACAGTCATTCACAACTAAGCCATTGTAAGACTTTAAACTTTGTTCAGGCCAGTTTAAAGTTGAAAATAGGTCTCCGGGGACAAGCCAAATTCGAAACACAGAATTAAAAAAAACTGGCCTTTAGATTTGCAAAGCAGGCCCATGAAAATTGTCTATGAGCATTTTATTATTTTTGTCCAAAACAGTCCATTAGTTCGTAGGATGCAGAGTTGTTCGTTAGCCTGCAATGGGTGATCAATACCAATGGCAAAATGAAGATTTCTACTCATTTGAATAAAACACTTTTTCTTTTTAAAGCCTGTCACAGTTTTAAAAGTGGCACAGTACCAGGAGTAAATCTCATCAAGCTTCCTTGTCACAACCAAACCGAAGTCAAAAACATGTCAATCACTCTGAATCGCCTTAATTGACCTGCGTATCATTTGACTCGGTTCCTTCCAGCCTCTTTTGAGACCTAAAAAGGAGCCTTAATCATGCAGATTCAAAATATCAACGACAGCACGCGGCGCATGAATAACCTCTTTCTCTTTGCATAAATCACTTCGTAAATCCGAAAGTGGCAACTCTCAACAGTGAGCATGACGAGGTACGAAGATGGAGTGGAGACTTATTGTCTACCAACAAGGTTATGCGAGATGATCCTGACTCCTTGGGGGGAAAAAGGAAGTCATCCAAGTTAGCTTTCACAAAGTACACGGCTGTATAACAACAGCCACATCTGCTTTTTTTGTTGTTGTCTATTGGTTCATATTGTCCCCCGTCTCTGTGTCACGTACACCAGCTCACACACTTCCTCCACCATCTTTTCTTTTTATTGATTCTGTATGTAAAGCTTTTGGGCGATTTTTTGGAAAGCGCTAAATATGTGTTGAATGATCATGACATTTTCTGTACTTAACCTGAGCACCGAGGCAAAAAGTATCATGCGCTTGACCCGCAAGAGTACGAGACATAGATTCATTGAATCAAAGGTCAAATAGCTTCAAACGAGTTTAAAAAAAAAATAGTGAAGAGAATCACAGAATGTGCTTCAAGACTTATTTTCCTTGGTGTTCATCGTTTCCCACTGGTCAGACAGTGATGAGTGGAGACTCTTACACCCTGAACCCAGCAACACAGGAAGGGAAAAAAAAAACCTACAAAACACAAGCCCAGAACAAGGACACACTGCCCTCGCCTACGCATGTAGTTCCGTTACTATTGCAATGCGACACACACACACACACACACACACACACACACACACACACACACACACACACACACACACACACACACACACACACAGGACGGTATCTGATCGCTCTGCATATCGCGGTGTATTGAAAAGGGGCCAGAGAAAATAGCGCACACACATACACGCTTATGAATGTTGATTGTTCAGTAAAAATGTCATCAGATAAGAGTTGTAAATTTGAAAAAAAAAAAAAAAAAAGTCCACACCTGCAGTGCAGTCATGGCGAGCTAAGAGCTAAGCAAAAAGCTACACTTTGAAATTACAGTAACACCTACGGTCAATGTTGAGTCTTTATTTTACCGAAGAAGCATAATTGGGAATATAAAGTCTGATTTGTATCCGGGGAAAAAAAGACAACACGCAAGGAGGACTTGTAAACTCGACCCAGAAAGGCTGAGGCTGAGATTCAAAACCCAAAGCTCAGAACTGTCATGCGGACATGCCAACCACTACACAAAGTGCAGCAAAGTGCACACACACACACACACACACACACACACACACACACACACACACACACGAAAAGGGAAGGCTTAACAGTTTAACGTTTAACCTTCCCTTTTTTTTTTACTTAAACCCTTTCATACACCATGTAACCTGATATACCATGATAAGATGTCCACTGTAGTAACCGCTGTCCCTGAAAGGGTTAAATACATTTTAAAGGACTACCGGTACTTTACTCATGAGAGCTTATGTAAATGTTTGTGAATGTCCAATCTAGAGGGGGGTCGGTGTTTATCAGTTTACAAAAGTCTTCCTGTTGAACAATGACGATTTGTGGGAGGCTGGTCACGATCGCATGAAGTTCAATGGAAAGTATTGTGATCTTACAACATACCATATTGGTGGTGGGGGGTGGGGGGGGCGGTATTTGTAAAGAATTTTGACCATGAATAAAAATGGAAATAGAATTCGCCAAAGAGTGAAACTGCCACGATGAAAAATATCTATTTATAGTACAGTCAAAAATGTAGCCTAAACTAGCCTAACCCTAAAATGCCAGTTGTATCATATTTGATCCATGCATTTTCATCATGTAACTCATTCTTTATATTATATTAAATCATCTGCATCAAATTTGATACTGCAGGTTTAAAATATGATTTTCCCCTAAATTTTTATTTTCAGATGTAATCTACATAATGCTTATAAATGGAATACGACAAATATCTAAAGCAACATGATATGGCAGAAATATTTTTGTGGATTTTGCTATAAGGGTGAATGAACATCTCAGTTCCCAAAAATCAGATTTTTCTGGCTATTCCTTGATGGGTCAGGCATTAAAGGGCTAAACACGGTATTTTGATTAATATTGTGTTTGTAGAATATGAATTCAGTAGGAGAAAAAACGATTGTTTTTATCCATCGCAAGTGGCGGCCATTTTGTCACTTGCCGTCGACTGAAAATGACATCAGCCACACGCACACGCGGAAAAAATAACATTTTAAGATTAATCTCTGAGTATACAAGCGTACAAATCAGTTAACCGTTGTTAATATGAAACTGCAAAAACAATCAAATGTTGGTGTTTTGAAATCTTTTTTGCGACTTCAGAGTTTTAGTTTCATTTTGAATGGTCAAATTTCACATTCTATGCCGTCACACAATTTTGACTTTTAGTATTCCGCTGTACTCGATGTTGCACTTAGAGGGTATTTCTCGGTTTAAGATGGAGCTCCGTTCCTACCTTGGCTACGTAATAATAATTTTGATATGTAAAACCGAACGCGCCGCAGTCTATCACTATTTATTATATATAAATATTTTTAAAAATCCAATGACAAAAAAACATTTTGGTGGCAACTGAGCTGACCTTGTGCAATGTGACATATTCTTAGACCACGTGCAGTCCGTCACCTCTTAATATCGCAACGTAATACACATCCACAGAGGCACTGAAATTCCAGATAGACACTGGTGGCCATGACACCGAACAGTCGAATCCCTTTCTGGAATCTTAAAAGACAAGGCGAGTCTGGACTGTGTAAAACAATCTGACATGCGCACATGAAGCACCAAATTTCATGTGAGTAACAGGAAAAGAGGATTTCGGAGGAGTGACTCCTTAGTGTCTGTGTCTGGGTTATGAACCCTCAGCTAATTTTAGATCCAAATCCCGGCCACAATTTGACCACTGGAAACATGATCAGAGGCAAAGAAGATGTGAACAGCTCTGTGGGAAAAGTGGTTACACTCTTGAGGTGACATCTAATCCGCAACTGCGGTTGCACATGGAGAATGGACTGTCTCTCGTGAAGGGGGTGTACTGTGGCACTATAAATGATTGCATTCCATTCTTTCAAACATGAATAGAATGTATGAATTCCACTGTTGTGACATCATCAAGGGTAATTTTTTTCTAACCCCCGATAAGGGAAGGCATTATTTTTCTGTGGTTAAAAAAAGTTGCTTGGGAAACCGTCACACATCGGAAGCTGCCTCTCGATCTTTCTGTAAACTGCGGTCGAGGCGAACATCCTCAAATTATGACAGCCGAGTCATGCACTGGTTTGCGAAATATTTTCTTGTTCAGTCATTAGTTCATTGAAACCAAACCCTCACTCACGTGTTTAAAAGTGAACTGAAATACAACATTGGCATCATCTTTACTCTATCAAAGGCGCACAAGACTCACCCATACATCATATTACAAACATCTGTCAGGCTTTAACCGGTGGGTTCACTCAGGGACAGTCAAAGCAGGAAACAGACGGCAACACTGGTGTGTCTTCGGGTGTTCAGGGACCAAATACATAACGATTGTAGTGACAGAAACAGCGGCATCGGCCAAAATCGGCCAAATCACTGCCACGTTATTTTGTTCAGCGTTTACTATGTGGTTAAATTACTCCGGGAAATGTGTGCAAATTAGCGCCAAATTGAGGGTTGAAAGTCATTCTAAAAACGATCAGCAGAGCTTTATTTCAATTTTGAAATTATATTGAGGATTACAACGCAGCAACTTTGTTGCGATATTTACTGACTTTTCTGACCACGTTTTTCTTGTTAAAATGGAGCAGCGAGGAGGTGTACTTACCCTGATAATAATGCGTGAGTCCTAATAAGGCACGGCAAACATAAGAGTTTGTGGTTAGCTGGTCAAAATGTCATGGGGGGAAAAAAATAGATGCACTCTGTTGACATATTGTAAATTTTGATTAAATACTGATATAATTTTCATGCGATGTAATTTTAAGATGACTGCTAAGAATTTTCATGTTTTCATGCATGTTTTTGGAATGTGGGAGGAGACCGGAATACCCGGAGAAAACCCACGTAGACACGGGGAGAACACGCAAACTCCACACAGGAAGGCCGCAGCCGGAATTGAACCCTGCACCTCTGCGCTGTGAGGCGGATGTGCTAACCAGTCGGCTACCATGCCGCCCTGCTAACAATTTTGTTAAACAACCATTCCGGTGACCCATGTGGCAATTTTGACATTTTAATTGCCAACTCCTGTCCTAAGGTGTTTTGTGTATTCATACCATTGCTTGTGGTGTTGACATAGTATCGCCGTCCTTGTGGAGACATGTAGCATTTCCAGTGAGGAGGCAGAGGGTCTCTCAGGTCCTCCAGCGGAAGCTGACTTAGCGATGCTGTTCTCTATCAAAACAGAATAAGGAAATCAGTGTCAGGATGCGGCAATATATCCATGCATCCATTTTGTGATCCGAGTTTTCCTCACAAGAGCCGCGGGGGAGTGCTGGAGCCTATCCCGGCTGTCATCGGGCAGTAGGCTGGGGACACCCTGAACTGGTTGCCAGCCAATTGCAGGGCACACAGAGACAAACAACCATCCGTGCTCAGACTCATACCTTGGGACAATTTAGAGTGTTCAATCAGCCGTGCATGTTTTTGGAATGTGGGAGGTAACCGGAGTACCCGGAGAAAACCCACGCAGGCCCAGGGAGGACATGCAAACTCCACACAGGGAGGCCGGAGCCGGGATCGAGGTGCTAACTAACCACTGGACCACCGGGCCGCCCTTGCGGCAATGTAGTCAATACAAATATTAAAAGCTCACAGGATCAAACAACATCAACAGTGTTAACGATCATAAGTTTTGGGGTTTTTTGGTCCATTTCCTCAAGCGTTTTCCAACCAGCAAGCAATGACATCCAAACAAAAGACACCCCTGCTGCCACATAATGTGCAAACTAAGCAAAGACGAATTTTAGAGTTAGCATACGTGCGTGTAACACAAATGAACACAAGACCAAAAGAAGGCAAACAACACACATCTGCTCATGGTTAGCAGGAATACAGAATGGGAAGAACAAGCCCGTTGTAGAACACTGTAAAATATTGTGCAGAGACTCTGGACGGACACATGAAAGTCAAAATGTGGTCATCAGTTCAACTAAAAGGGCCCGGTTTGAAAATGTGCAGAGATCATTGACATTCCACTGAATCCCTTTGCTCTGCTCTGTCGAATATTTATCAGCCACGCTCCCCTCCAAAAGGATTAGAACAGTGAGGCCAACTTATTCACCGCTGCGGTTTCTTGAAAACACGAAAATATGATTATGAGACATGAGTCTCTTGGCATAGACAGTAAAGATCGGTTGCGATGGACAAGGATTGAACGAGGTCATGATGCGACCGCTGAAGAGTGACGTTACTCGGTTGCGATGGACAAGGATTGAACGAGGTCATGATGTGACCGCTGAAGAGTGACGTTACTCGCAAAGAATACATCATAGCAAAGAAGCAAATTTCATTGCACGGTTCGCTTTGAACCGGGGCCGAGCGTCGATGTTGGGCGAGCTTTCCAGACCCACTTTCTTTTGAAAGAAAATCCATGCGTGACCTGCATCTCTCCAAATTGCAACAAACTGGTTTCCAAAGAGTCCCCCCTGCCTACTGGTCGGAGGCAGCTGGGAAAGGCTCCAGCCCGCCCCGCGACCCTTGTGAGGATAAGCGGATCAGAAAATGGATGGATGGATGGATGGTTTCCAAAGGCTGCACTGTTGTGTGGTGAAGTTTGCCGGTGAATTTGCACATCAGCACTCTTAAATGGCCCGAATTTTTAGGTATATATCGCCCTTCATGTGCTTTTGAGAAACAGATTATGTGTTCTATTTCCAACCAAGACAGTGACAAAAAAATATATGTTCTCCCATCTCTTGAGACGAATGAGTCTTTCGCCTAACGGGCACGATTCAGTCTGTTGCCTCTGGCTGGAGCACAGACCACATTTCATTTTCATTTGAACACCCCCAAGTCTTGGTGAGTGAGAATTAAATAAGCAATGTCTGTGTTTAACTATTGCACTCCCATAGCAACGGCTCAGCCGATCAAGGACGGGCAGTATCAAGGATCAAGGAAATTATGATTCAATAAATGTATCTTCAATTTTGGATCTCCAAGCCTCACCTTCGATTGTGTAATATGTGACTAACTGGGTTGAGAAGACTTGTAACTGGCAAGTGTCTGTTTCTGTCTCTCTTCAGACACTTTTAATATGCACTGCTCCATTGCCAGGCTCATGTACGACATCATTTTACTGCATTACATATTTAATTTTGCTGAACACATAAAACAGGAGATGAAAAAGCACAAAGTGAGGCAGCCGCTACTCTGCCTCACTGCAGGTGGTTAAAATTATGACAGAAACGGCATGTGCAGACTGCCTCAGAAAACACGTCAGGAATTGAAACGGCGGTGATTCACATTTCTTCCACGATCCGTTTTAATCATGACGTATTCATATTTTGTATTTGACTGTGTAATGCACTCATAACAACTTCCGCCAACAGTTCAGAGCCGAGGATGAGACTCGTCATTTCCAAGACCAGAACCTGAATTTCATCATAGCCACAAAGTGTCGCAGGTAGTATTTCGGAATCTCTGTTCAGTTTCATTGTGTTTTATTTATTTTTTTCTCCCAAACTGTTGTTTTGACTTGTTTGCCAAATAAGTAAGAAATTGCAATGGTTACTATGCTCTGTCTATCCATCCATCTGTTTTCCATTCAGCTTATCCTCACTCGGGTCACGATTGAGCTGGAGCATATCCCAGCTGACTTTGGGCGAAAAGTGACTGGTTGTCAGCCAAACGCAAGGCACAGATAGTTAAGCAGCCATTCACGCTCACATTCACAAAAATGCAAAATTGATCGTCTTAACCTAAGAATTTTTTTTTTTCCCGAATGTGGGAGGAAACCAGACTACCTGAAGAATACCAACATAAATCACGAGGGGAACATTCAAACTCAAAACAGGAAGGCCCCAGCCGGGATTTGAACCACCAACTTTTGAACTGACGCTACGCTCTCTCGATGTCACATGGTCATTATTAGTGAATAAACCCCAGTATTCTTCGACGGATTTCTGCCTCTGGCAAAAACAGATGGTTGCCATGCCGGGGTGCTTTGAACAGCATGTATACTGTGCAGTAATTGTGGAAGGTTATTGATATCTGACTGTCAGACTCTTTTTCTGTCTGGCCTGCCTGGATATGAGTCTCAGCATTGGACAAAATTTTGCGAGTAGTCTGACTCATATGAGAGCATACGATTTGCATCAAGTAAGATAAAGACTTCAGTGGTGGGATGTGGGGTCAAATCTTGGAGCATTCTTATCCCAGCATATGCAACATTTAAATAATGCATCGTTCAAGATGGTTAACCTTCTAATACCCATAATGCCTTTGGCTCCACATTCACAGCATGCCAGAAACGCCGATGGCAGATAAACCATACGCACTCATCCATCTCGGTGACATAGACTGAGTAGTAACCACAACAATCATGACTGCTGTGAGCAAGCACTGGATGCTGTCTTTTTATAAGTCCAAACTGAATTAGAATTTTGCATAAAATGCTCATAATGGCAGAAATGAAAATATCCAAAAAGGCAAATGGGAACTAAATTGTAATCCTCATTCATATCCATGGACTTTTATTGTGAAAGCATCCAACGGAAGTAATGCCATGTGCCTCAAATGACATAACTGGATTTCTAAATAGCACAACACCAACACAGAGACAGCCAAACGAAAGCGGCTTAGAGGAATGTGGAAGAGAAAATAAACTTAATAACAGAGATTCACTTGAAGCAGTGAGAGCTGAAGAGACATTTAAAGAAGAGCTTTTTCTTCAGAGAAAGCGATTTATGATCACAAGTTGGCCACTGTCCGTGCGAATAAACTCAGCCCCCACATTATCGCTGCCGCGAAGACACAAATATGTTGACAATTGTTGATGGAATGACAATGAAGGATAGGGACCAAATCTGGGTCAAAAGGCACTTAAACAGGTTATCTGAAAAAAAAAGGGGTGCACCGTGATGAATGTAAAACAGCTTAAATCAACATTTATAATTAGATTGTGAAGACAAAATTAAATTCTCACTTCTAAAATAAAGGTACGTATTCAAAAAACACATTCACGAAAAAACACATTCACGAGATTTAAGATGATGGTAGTCGAAATCGGGATTACCGTGTATTCATTTTTATGCGATGCGAATCGGCGCATGACCCATGTTGATGTCTAAATATGTGATTCGTTGTAGTTAACGTCATTATATTTCTCAACATGATATTAATATATTATTCATTACACTACAACATTCTGACTTTCAGAATAATACAGAAAGGCTAACTTGAGAGCCGATCAGTATTAGTTGCGTTCCAAATGGAAAGATGAGACGAAAAATATATAATCGGTGAATCCCTTTGGACCTTTAACAACCTCTGAGGGGAAGACTTTTTTCCAAGATGCTGGAGTCTGTCAGTGAAAATATTTGACCATTCATCCAGAACATTTGCAAGGTCAGGGGTCATCGACCTTGGCTCTGAGACTCCCAATTATTCCACCCCAAACTCATCCAAGCAGTTCCCACAAAGTAGGAAGCATATACAGCATTTACAGTACTGTATAACGTGTGTCATAAAACTTCCGGGACCGGAAAAATGAAAGCTATCCGTATTTCAAATCAAATCCAAAGTAGTGCAGGACCTCTTTGTAGATGTGCTGGTATTTTCTGCACTATAAGGCGCTTTAGAGTATCAGGTGCACCTTCAATGAATGGCCTATTTTAAAACTGTTTCCATATATAGGGCATACCGCATTATAAGGCGCATAGTATAGAAGCTATAATAGTGGCTGCAGTTGCGTTATGCATCCACTAGATGGAACTATGCTAAAGGAATACAATACAATACAGCTTTATTTATGTAGCGCTTTCACAACAGCCGTAGCCGTAACAAAGCGCTTTAAAATACTACGACATCAGAAATGAGAATATTGATCCATATATAAGGTGCATCGGATTATGAGGCGCACTGTCGGCTTTTGAGAAAATGAAATGCTTTTAGATGCGCCTTACAATGCAGAAGATATGGTCAATCAAATATATGTCCCAAAATTTGAGGCATTATAATGAAGACAAAAATACATTGTTCTCAAAACATGAAAAAAAGCACAATGGTGGTCTTCAGTGTTTTTCTTTTAATGCCACAAAACTTCCTCAACATCATGACATGTAATGACGTGGCCCAATTGACACTGACCTAACCAGCTCTGAATACAACTCCAACCTTGAGCAACAACTAAAGTTTTCGGGCATTTTTTTTTTTTTCCCAGGGTGGTGATTCATGAATGCACTGATCAGCAGGTTAGTAACGTCTGAGCGCAGACTTTGTGGGATTGTCCTGAAGAGGTGAGTCACACCATCCCATCTGTCACCATCTGTGTCACCATCACAGTTCGTCACGATTTTTTTTTTTTTTTGTCAACGCCAGTCGCTCAATCCCTCACTGTGAGGAGGCGGATGAAAACACAGACTCAGCAGTCCACGGCTTTAACAGATTGGCTAATTAACAAGCCCGGCATACTGTAGTTGACAGGTATGCACCATATGTGAGACAACTGCAAGGATGCAAAACTGCAAACTGAACCCGAGCTCTAGTGATTTCTCGTGGAACCATCTGGACTTGGAAAGTTGAGTCTCTATGACAGGTCAAGAAGGCCCGCTGACCTCTTCTCCAGCAAGGGAGAAGCTATCGAGCGGATCCAGTATGTGAGCCACGAATGAAAACCAAAACCCTCGGACAGCTTCGGTGCCGCCTGCAAGTTTCACAAAATGAATTTGACAATCCATCCATCCTTTTTCCGATCCGCTTTATCCTCACAAGGGTCGTGGGGGGTGTGCTGGAGCCTGTCCCAAATGTCCTCCTTACAAGCCAAAAGGCTCGTGTTGAAATGAATTGCAGTCAAACGCAATTCGTTCCATGGAAATTCTTCACCATCGGAAATAATACGAAGTGTTTGTCCTCACGTGGCTTTTCTCTGCTTAACCCTTTCATGCACCCTGTGACCTGATACCATGATAAGCTGTCCACCGTCGTAACCGCTGTCCCTCAAACGGTTAAATGCTTCATAATTTAAGTAAACGGCAGCTGATAAGACATACCTGTCAACTCATACAGTTTAGCCATAGTTCATATGGATTTTGTGGTGAATCTTACGCATACGGCCATATCGCACAAATCATACGGATTCTGAAAATTTCCGTTTTTTTTTTTTTTT